TTTTATATATTAAATTTTATCAAGTCATAACTTCAAGCTTCTCTTACATCCAATGAATGAGAAAATTTGTACTTAATACATTTCCCCACACCTTCAACTTTAGGATACTTCAAGACTGCTTGAATTTGTTCCAGATTTACTTCAAACACATCATCTTTAATCAATTTAAAATTTAAATGTTTGTTTGGTTGTGTCCAATGACTTAAGTACTGTTACTCTTATAATTTTGTCCTTGATATTTTTTATTACAGCAAGATAAATATAAATTGACATTCCACGCTTACCAAATTTAACATTAACTAAAATAAATGTTCCAATTTTTAAGTTATCTTTACTTGGTGGTTGATATTCTGGAATAGTGTTATCTATCACTTCATGATCTGACTCAGAGTCATTGGTAAGGATTGGATGATTGCTTAATTCTACCTCTTCATCAGAAATGACATTATTATTGACACCAAGTGAAGCCACTGTTATACTTGCTCCTGCTTCTACAGTTATTTTTTTTCTTTTTGTCCTTGCATTGTCATCAGTGTTTGGGTATCGTTGACTTTTCAAATATTCGGTAACAGTGTCATTAATTAAGATATTTGATTCATCAGTATTGGGTAGTTTGTCCATCACTTTTTGTTTATTCAATGGAAAAATACCTGTTGCTTTAAAAGATGCTTGCAAATCATTGGCAATTGACCCACCACCATTATAATTATCCATTGCATCAATTGCTTTTCGTACAAGAGTAGGAAATGATGCTTTTAGAATAGCCTTCAATCTTGTGTTTTGGTTTTTCCACTCATTTAATGCATTTCGCCATGCTTGTTTCAACGGTCTGAAAAAACCAACATCTAAGGGCTGGGTTAAATGAGTAGAATTCTTTGGAAGGCAAACAAAGTCAGTATCATTTTGTTCGCATTCAAAAATGATATCTTCTTGGATGTGGGATGATACGTTATCCCCTATTAGAACTTTTCTTCCAGGCTGACGTTTAGCATGTGGTAGAAAACTAGTTAGGAACCAGTCTTTAAATGTAACGCTATCAATCCATCCATGAGATGAACGGTTGTATCGAGATCCTCTAGAGCAACAAGGTTCAGGACAACATGGTGCTCCTTTTGGTCCTCCTTCGGTCCATGGTTGCCACATATCATTGGACTTATATATGAAATATGGTGGCAAAAGAATTCCAGTTGCAGAACCACAAAACATAATAGATGTAGCTGATTTAGAATGATTTTGTACACGTTCGGGATATTTTGTTCCACGTTGAAAAATGAGTTTTTTTTCCTGGATTATCCTGTAAATTTGTTTCGTCATAATTGTAAATATTTTGAGGTGATACATGCTCAACTACATGTTGCAAATTATCAAAATATTTTGAAATACATTGGGGAGAGACTTCTGCACGACATCTGGAAATATTGGTTGCTATACGTTGACAAACAATATTGTTATATCTTTTTAACATGCTACGAGCCCAATCTGCACCGGGAAGATTTTTTGAAAACGATTCAACCACAATGCCTTTTCTATCCAAATAAGATTTTGCAATGATCCTGTAAAAATGTACTACTAGTCAATCTACTAACACGTTAAGTGCCATGCGGCCGCCGGCGGCCTTACGTAATGGTATTTTTAAAACGTTATCGGGTTTTTATTGTTGTCATTCGTGAAATGCTATCAGCATTATCTCGGGAAGTATTTGATCTAAAAATATGATTCCGACATTAGATTATTCGGTTTATCATGTATGTTATTAATAAAGTATAAAATAAATAAGACCGCCGGCGGCCTAAGTGCGCTATGGTAATATTCGTTATTGGCCATTTGGCAGCCGGCTGTCGTAATAGAATGTTTATGTTATACCGCGATTCGTGTCTTATTATTTTGTTTACTTATTAATTTAATTCGAGCAACAATTATAAAGTTTAATATCGTAATATATTATAATAATATATAATATATTATATTGTAATATTAACAAATAACGTAATATGTTTTGGGGAACCCATACTAAAGTCATGTCCATTTTAATATTCCAAACACACTATGTAGTGCCCTACTATAAAAATAATAAAATAATAATGGTATGACCTGCAATATTTGTAAACCTGCCAAAAAATGCATAACAATGATTATAAAAAAAATATTTTAATGTAAACAATAAAATAAATAAATATTATATTAAGTATTAATTTTAATTTATAGAAAAAAGTAATGTCGAAGATTTAGACGAATTCATATTTTCCCAACAACCTATTCCTTCCGTACCAGTAAATATTAATTATTAATTATAAGTAATTATCATTTTGATTTTTATTATTTTTTGAAATTTTTAAAACATTTTGATTAAACAGTAAAATGTATTGTAGAAAGTTAAGAAAAATAAATATTATGTTTAAATTTTCGTTTCAGTGTAAATAATATAGCTAACCTATGGTAAATTTTGTCCTCTATGTCCTAGTGCTATTTTCAAAAGCATAACTACAGCGCCAATCATATAAAACAGGTAGGAATATACATTGGTTTTGAGGCAGCCCGCGGCCGTATGGCCTCCTAGGAATAATATGGTGCGGCAGCCGGCGGCCTAAAAATCACACAAACATCCATATGATTTTGCAGCAGCCGGCGGCCTCATGGCACTTAACCCTGTAAAAATGTACTACTAGTCAATCTACTAAATGCCAAATATAAATCTAAATGTAATCACTAACTTAAGATCCATCAGTGTAAGAGGGAAGCACACTTCATGGCAGCTGTAAGAAAAGACATTTCTTCCTTTTCGCTAAAAACCGTTGGATGCACACACTTCTAGACATGCTTGCCATTGAATCTATTATGCAATGTCCCATAGGAAATTGTATAGGCCTTACTGGCGGCTAATATTGAAATCTCACCATTGGCAATTTTATTTAGTGCTTCCTCTAAAATGTCATCTGAGTAATTTTGATAAGACCTACCACCAATCTTCTTTTTATATTTGCGAGCCACTAAAATATATAAACATATATAATGTACCATCTACTAAATGTATAAGTTATGAATTAAATATGTCTCTGCAGTGGTGCACAACTATTTTTTATAACAAGTACAGCTAAAACTAACCACCAAACCAAAAACACACTATTCAATGTATGTATAAAATAGCTATCAAAGTTGCCCTGTATGATACATCAAAGTAGCCCCATGTCAAAGTCTTATATGTATTTTATTATATTCAAAATGAAATTGTATTTTGAACCATGAACTAAGAAGATATGGACTGGTCACGACATGGTAGGCTGGTGGTAGAGGTAAAATCAGTAATTGTTATTTGTTATGGTACCGGAATCAATGCGATAGTGTCGGTGCCTAGTGGTCTTCATCGAAAACGCTAGAACGGTAATGATATCAATAACAAAAGGCCGCCGGCCGCCACGGTAACCGACAACAAAATGCTTGATGAATATCCATATCCCGGCTTCGTTCATGTGCTTTTTTTTTGTGGGAAATTCTATTTAGGTTTATGCATAAATACTAGTATTTAATATTTTTAATCAATGGTTATAGGTATTTAGTTTATGGTTTATACGCTATTTAGTTGTATCTCAGTTAGAGATTACAATCCCGGGATCCCGGCTACTTTTAGGTACCGAAAATACCGGGACCAGTATAAAAAAATCCCGGGATTCCCGGGACTGTGTAACAGCACTCAATAATTCAATACCCCGATTATGAATGCCGATTAACGTGTTTTTAAGATAAGATTATATTATGTTATGAGATTATATATTTTACGACCGATCGGTATACGTACGAACAATTAGTATACGCAATACGCTGTTCTCTGAATACATTCAATACGTAGGCCGTAGCGCTACAGACAACAGTCAACACTCATCAGTCACGTTCACGGCTCACGGATATTTTTTTTGATATTTAACTTTGATACCACAGTGTTTATACTTTTATTATAAAATGTCACGTGAAAGTGTTTTTGTTAAACACAAAAAAGATTTAGATCATCGTCAGCGTGGAGTCATTTCCTAATTGCAAGCGATGGAAAAAGTGCGCGTTGTAAACGATGTTTAGCAGTATTGAAGACATTGGGAGGATCAACAAAAGGTTTACACACGCATTTGTTATCCAAACATAATTTTAAAGTATTATCTGAAAGCAATTGTTCATCAACTGGGCATGGGCATGGAGAACCGTTAGAAGAAAATTCGACACCGCCACCAGCTAAACGAAAATTCGTTGAATATTTTATTAAGAGTGATACACTAGATCATGTTTTGGCTCGAATGACAGCTTTGGATGGTTTCCCATTTATTGTTTTTATAACTTCTAATGATTTAAGACAGTTATTAATATCCAAAGGTTACTCTGATTTACCAAAATCAGCCGTAACAATTCGAAATCGTGTAGTACATTTTAGTTTAACAATCAGAAAAGAAATAATTGACGAATTTAAACAGTTGAAAAAAAAAGGTGAACGATTTAGTTTATCTTTTGACAAGTGGACTTCCACGGCCAACAAACGTTTTATGAATATTAACGTCCATTCGCAAACTAAGATATGGATTTTTTTTAAATCAACTGAGAAAAGTTAAGTTATTTCATCTGTAAATTAAACTAGTTAAGTTCACAAGTTGATTAGAAAATAAACTAACTAGTTAACTTAAAAAGTTAAAAAAAAATTAACTTTAACTTTTTAACTAGTTAATGCCCACCTTTGCCAATATACAATATTATATTCCACCTGGCATGTACAATTATGAAGTTCAGATTTTTATTGGCTATTTTTCCATTCTTGATCTGCAAAAGTAACAACCTATATTAGTTAAAATATTAAAAAGAATATAGATGTACGCAAAGCAAAGCTGAAAAATATACAGTATAGGTTTTAGTAGAAATTTAAAGTTAAAAACAAATGAAGCGAAGAAAGAGAGCAGTTAAAGCATTTAATGTTTATACCTTTTTTTTAACAATAAATAATAATACAATATTTTACATAGCCAATATTACACATCTAATAATTTAGCCAACTTTTTTTTTTTTTGTGCAACTTTTTCTCTTCTATTCATTTGAACGGCGAAGTGGCGCATACGCATTATTAAATAATTATTAGTTATTGAAGTAGTAATATTGATTTTGTGAATTGTACATGGAAAAGTGAATTTGTGTTTATCAAAAATGTCATCAATAACTAAATCAAAAACATTTCTTTTGTTGCAGTGTTTGGAAAATGATGCTTCTACTTTGTTAATTAAATAAAATAAATAGATATTTGGATGGGTTAAGCCCCCTTTAGTTTTTAAATTGACGAGTTCAGCTTCAGGTATGTCAACATATGTTTTTGTAGATTTCAAAGCATTAAGGCAGCTAAAGCAAGCAGTAGTTTTTGATATTTTGTTAGATATGTACCCACAAGCATAATAGACAATGCAGTCTATTGCTTCAGAACTGTTATAGTTGTATTCTTCAAAAATATCGTCTGCTTCCCACTGGCCTTCTTCAACAAGCATGTCAACTTTTGATCGTAAATTTATCAGCTTCTTTTCTCTATCACTAATTTCGCTGCCTTGGAAAATTTCTTTGACCTCAGTTACTGAAATTTTAGGTGAGTGTCTATCTAGTATAGTACAATTTCCGTACTTCGGGGGTTTTAATACAGAATATAGTGATAAAATTCGATAGAGATGAAGAAAAGTTGGACCAGTAGGATGATCATTTGGGCCGGCTGCCTGGCGAATCATACCAAAAAATTTCTGAAAAAATAAATTACAGTACTTAGTAGGTACAAAAAATACAAACATAGTTGAAATGAAAATATTAAGATATGCATAAAAACTTCTAAGGGATCTTGGTTCATTTTTCCAGTTAACACATATTCAAAACCACAATCCCATAGTAAATAATTTGTTAATTCAATTGTCGATCTTAATGTCACTCTAAGTCCTTCAGCAGTTGTCAAGGTTAAAAATTCATTTGGGTGAATGTGTTGTTAATGCATACTTGTTTCCCAAGTGTTCAACCAAATCTCCGCGTCTTCCATTACCTATACAATTAAAATATTATAAGGTAGATAAATAAACTATAACTCATAATTTTTTAATAAATTACTTTTAAATCATGACTAGATTTTTTAATGCCTTCTGCTGTGTACCGTCTATTCATGACATCAAACAGATCGTTCAAAAACTTTGTCCACTTTTGAGTTTCATCGCTGTCAGCCAAAGTTTGAACTTTTCTATGTCTATAGAACTCTAATCCGCATGCCATAGAATGACTAAAAACCTACAATTCAATATTCAATAACAACTAAAGTTTTGATGGTCAATTTCTCAATATAAAACAAAACTTTTAGATTACTTGAGTCATTAAACGCACACGCATTTTCATAATGTTGGATAAGAATAAGTGGTCTTTAGTAACTTTGGGTACTGCTCTTGCAACACCAGCATGCACTGTATCCTCATTTAAAACATCAATATAATGTGACCATCTAATTGGGTTACAATCTGCATTCATCTGGTATTCAGAAAAAAAATTATTTATGACATTTATTAAATTAGAAACTATATTTACCCGGAGAATTTTTTTATCGTGCAATCTGTTTCTAATATTTTTAAAAATATGAGGAATATCAGAAAATGCGAAGACTTTTCTACTTTCGTCCAGAGGATGGGTAAAATAATTTTTCATAGATTCCATAGCTCCACTAATACCAAACTCCTTCCACATTTTACGATTAGTCGATGACCCATCGCAAATTAGTCCATCGATTATACAATTTGAATTTTCTAAGCACACAATTGCCTTTAAAACAAGCTGTGCCAGGACAGTTCCTAAAAAAATAAAACAACAAAATCATTAATTTGTATAAATACTTTGTAAATAATAATAACTCACCAGAAACTACACCAGATGAGGCAAATACAGCAATTGGCTGTGAAAATTTCTCCGCTAAACTTTGGAACATTAAGACCAAACCGTGATCAGCTTTTTTATTATCTGAACTAACAACTTCACCACCCATATCCTCCAAACCAGTATATGTCAAGTTCCTGGTGTTCACATATACTCCTTTTCGTAGCTGGACTTCGTCAAGTAAAAGAACGCCATGACGTTGTTTATCAGTTTTCTTAGACATTCTTTTTTTTAACAATTTGAAAAATTGATCATCAAAACCACAATCAGTTTTTATAATGCTTACATATTTTCTTATTGTTGTAGTACAAGGCAATGGAAGAAGCTGTTGGTCCCTTAAAAATTTGTAAGCACCAGAAGATCTTATGTGAAATAATAAACACAAAAGTAACCAGTCCTGAGAGTAGCGTCGATTTTTGGGATTTGTATATTTACTTGCAGCTATAACTTCTCTTAACATTATTGATTGAGAATCATTCAACTGATGTTCATGAATTATATCTTCTATTAAATTGCATGGTATTTTACTTAATTCATCTTTTGCAGCACTTAGTTCACTCTCTAATATTTTCACTCTAAATTTGGCCCTTAATACCTTTTTTTGAATTCTATGCTTATCCTGTCTAACAGTGTTAAGTTGCTCCTTCTTAGACGGTGATAAAAGCAAAATACTTTTTTTACCTTCTGACATCCGTTTTCTTTTCATACGCAGAGCACCACTTATATTAAAGCAATGCAAACAGCTTTGTTTTTGTCGTATTTTATAATCTAATATATATGGACACTGTTTATGTCGCCAACGTCCATTCAGGCCTACGTGTGCCATACTGTTATGAATACCTGGATATTGGTGTTCTAATGGTCCCCCAATACACACATGAATATTATTAAGCTGTTGTAAAATAATAGTAATATTTTGAACTGATGGTAAACAAGGAATTTCTATACCAATTTTTTCTAAATCAAACATTTTGTTATATAGTTTACACATCATCACCATATCTTTACCAAAGCTAATCTGTTTTTCAAGTAACAATCCAAATGTCCCATCAATATCAATGCATGATATTGCAAAATAATAAGTTATAAATGGGTTTTTTCCATTAATTATTTTATACTGCCAACCACTTGGACATAAAACTACAGCTGGATTTTTAAATATTTGTGAAAATATTACACCTGGTTGATATTCTGGTTGATATTCTGGCTGTAGAGAGGAAATGGCAGTCTCAGTGGGGACCAAATGTGATTGAATACAACTGTTTTCGTTATTAACTTCATTGGCCTGCAACAAACAACATAATAGATAATATAGTCATAATAACAAGACAATATGGGAGCAGCCTTTTTTATATTAGTAAAATCTAAAATATCATAAGATACAAAATAGTAGAATTGTGATTACCTGATTTATTGAACTGTACAGCACTCTTTTTGTAGGGGGTTTTCTATTCTTTGTAAGCTTTGACAGGTATTTAGGTCCTGGGAATATGGAGGGTATTGCTTCACTAGTCAACCTTGGACGTTTCAAGTTTATCTAAAATAAAATAAAATTAGGTATCTACAAACTATTGCATATTGTTATTGATACTTGCAACAACTAAAAACATTATTTATACATACCACAATTTTATTAGCACCAGTACCTGACTCCCAAGTTAGCAATGTCTGATAAAATATCACTCAATAATTTATACCTCGGTTGATAAAATGTTTTTGAATATATGTAAACGTTGTGAAATCGAATACCGTTAATGTGTGTTAGTAATGTGTATATGAAATTCGTTTTCCCACAACCTGAAGGACCCACGATAAGTGATCTTATCGTATTAGGTAGAAGCGCCCCATGTCTTTGTTTTTTATACGAAGTAGGTGGGTCCACGTTATCAACTGTGAGTTGTATATATTGTTTAAGGAATTTCATTTTTAAATAAATATCTCTGTAATACTGCGAACTTGATCAGTACACGATGTCACTCGCTCGAAGAAGGAACAACAATAAAGGTGCTGGTCTTATCAACACGCTTACAAACAAATTACCGCTAGAGCTTCACGTGCCTGGTAAGATCATAATATGCGTATATTATATTAGTAATAATAATAACATTTCTCTCTCTCTTTAGGTTATCAATATCGTGGTCCTGGTACAAATTTAAAAAAACGGATAGCTCGTGGTGACAAAGGTTAGGTTATACATTGCGTATGAAAATAGGAATTATTTCGCAGATCGTAACAAAGCCGATTATATATTAGAGCAGCGAGCCAGGGATAGGTTTAAGGCTAAAGATTCAAATTTAAAAGAGGAAGCTGTAGCTTGGGGCTTGACAACCGCCATGAAAGCAAAGCGTAAAATCGGGGCTGGATGTGGGTTTAAAGCAGCCATAAAAGCAGCTAAAAACGCTATAAAGAAAAATATCGATGAAAAAAACCTGATGAAATTAAGTTAAAAATGTCTAACCGTCGCACGAAAAACATTCAGAAAAAGAAAAACTAAAGTTACAAGGATTATAACAATTCCAAAAAAGGGCGGGGTGTTACCACTTATTCCGATTTTCGCTGGTTTATCGGCAATTGGAGCACTGACTGGCGGCGTTGCCAACGTCGTTAAGTTGGCTAATGAATTTAAAAGGAACACGCCATTGCATTTAGGTGGTGGGTTTATATCTCGCACCGTATAAAGGCCACTCGTACAAAATCGGGTCTGGTGCTACACCATTTAAAAGTGGTGGGGGTTTAAAACCGAAAAAAAAACTAATATCTACGTTACCCAGAAGAGCACTGTACGATTACGAACTAATAAAAATCGCTCGTTTAATGAAATGCCCCATTTCATCGGTGTATTTACAAGAGACAGGTTACCCGTACGTCGTAAACGAATAGAATCAGCGATTGTTAACTTGGACTCGGAACACGGTACAGCCGTACAGGTACTCACTGGGTAGCGTACAAAAAAATAGGAAATCAAGTTCAATATTATGACAGTTTTGGAAATCTACCACCTCCATTAGAAATAGAAAAATATTTTCACGGGTGTAACATCAATTTCAATTATAGCAGAGAACAGAAATATAATACTACAAACACTTGTGCTTAAAATTTTTATCATGTACACGATAACATTGAACGGGAACTCGAGTGAATTGTCATGTGACATTTTTCCACCGTTGGAAGTAGGAAGCACAGCACAGATATTATGTCTTTTGAGCTTACAGACAAATAATTCGATACCAAACATCCTGAACCTGGGTGTAATACTATCGGGTTTCGTGATATTCTAAATGAAAATGAAAACGTTATTATACCTACAGGCACTTACGAATTGGTTCATTTAGAGACTATTATACAAAACATGATGCCTGATTTTGTCAATTTTTTTGAGTTAAAAGCAAACAGCAAGACATTAAAGTGCAGTATATCGTAATACAGTATATAGCGAAATTGCTAGGCTTTCGAAGTGTTCTATACACTACTGGTGCCACTCACGAGTCTGAAAATATCGTCAACATCATGAAAATAAACTGTATAAAAGGAGAGTGCAACTTAATTACTGGCTCATTCTGTGACGGAGCACCGAGTCAGACTATACACGAGCTTTATCCGTCTGTGCCTGCTGGGTATAAAATCGTTGAAGTAGGTACCTAGATATCTGGTTTTCTACGGTCTCAACACGAGATCAGTAACCAGAGTAAATATTGTGCTAAAAGACCAAAACGATTGCCTGATAAATTTGCGCAGTGAACCGATAACAGTTCGTTTACAAATAACGCGTGGATATGGCGCTCAAGTTTAATATAAAAACCAGTGCAATCAAAAAACCTGTCAGTTTACCGCCTGCCGTTAAGAAGTCAACATCTATGTCAAAATCGAAAAAAACTATTTCTAAACCAAAAAAAAACAAGTCCAAGCTCACTAAAAATAATTTAAATTTTGTCCGTTCGTTGCAATGATGGATGACACGTATTTAGACGTCACAGCCGACTATGTCGACGAGTGTAAAATAACGCAAATGAATTATCATTCATTCACTCCGTACTCAAACATGTCTTTATCAAATAACGATGAAATCAGGATAAGTGTTTTGAATATGGGCTCATACACTTTACCGTGCGAAAGCTATATTTACATCGAGGGTAAAGTGAACAAACCTACCGATGCTGTTGGAGACGTACGTTTTTCAAATAATGGATTGGCATTTTTATTCTCTGAAATGCGATATGAAATAAACGGAGTAGATATACAGAAATTAAAATCACCTGGAGTTTCGTCTTGTTTGAAAGCATACTGTTCGTATACTCCAAACGACTAAAAAATAATAAAAGATAATCTTTTAATTATCTAGATGATATAAAAAGATAAAAGATAAAAGATAATTATTTAAAATAACATTGAGGGTCTAACTCTTGGCTATCTTTTTAAAATAACTTTTTTATTTAATGACTTAAGGTTTGATGGAATATTCCTATTATTCTTAAAATGTAATAGGTAAATAAATGATTAACAGATGTAGATTAATTTAAACTATTATTTATTAAGACCTACCTATATCTTAATATTTGTACAAGTGGTTCTTACTAAGTGGCCTTACATTATTCATAATTTTTTAACTAAATTTAATTTGGCTGTATAAGTTAACATTAAGTTGTATGAAGATAATATACTAGTATATAAAATATGGTTGTATTAGAATTTGTATTAAAACATTTTTTAATGTAATAATTTAAATTTTAAAATACAAATATAAATAAGTAAGTAACTTTTCATTCTTGAAATAGTTATATCATTATTCATTGGATCTCATATTCATAATTATGTTATGTTGCTTAATTTTACAAATGACTACTAATGCATTAGGTTTAGGTTATATATTTAATATTTAATAAAAACAATTTATCATATTGCACACAACATTATTTTTTAATTTAACAAATTTTAATCAAGTATCCATAAAAACAGTTTATAGTAAATATAATAGGTACCTGGTACCTAATAGGTATATAAACAAAAAGCTTAAATCATATTTAGTAATAGTTATTTAATACAACAGTGCAAAGTATAATTTATAATAAAATAAAAATATTACAAATGAAAATCATAATCATAATTGAAAACATTATAACATTATACAGCAAAGCATAATCACAACAAAAAACATAATAATTTTAATGATAATAGTTCTAATTTTAATTCATAACAAAATATCAATACCCATTAGAATTTAAAATCACAATTCAAATACATTTAGTCTTATACAATATAAAGAAGAATTATTGTGGTTTAACATAAAAAAGATCCTTAAACATTTAAATATCTTAAAGATTTATTCTTTTTTAAGTATAATAATATTTCAAAATTATTATCATTTAAACGGTTTCTAGTTGGGCATAAGATTTGGTTACCTGCACTAAATATTCTCTCTACCGGTGCAGAACTAGGTAAAGTTGTGTTATATTTTAAAAATATATTTTTAATTACGTTGTACTTATGTAGACAGTTCAAATATCTATTTTTTGAATCTAAATATAATAAGCCTTGCACTAGACCTATATTTTTTTCATTTTCATCAACAGATGAAGAATTTTGTTCAAAATAATTAGAAAAAAAATCATTATTAGAAGTGCGGGATGAATTTGAAGTGTCACTTAGACATTCATCATTCTCATTCTGTAGACCATGGTATTTACATTCTTCTAAAAATAAGCGTCTACAAACATCAATGTACTCATTCGGTATCCAGGACAATTTGAACTTTGGATGAGAAATAGCAGAAATTATAAATGTTTTAGATGATTCTTTTTCTAAATCAATGATATAGCTAAAACGGATTTTAAAGTTGTTTAAAATTGTGTCCTTTAAATGTTGACAATGTTTCAAATGGGAAATTTTTTCTATCTTATCTGACATTATAAATAATGTGGGTAGTACAACTCCTAAAAAGCAATTCTTTTCCCCTTGAAAAATGTCTAAACTAATTGCAATCGGTTCCATAATTCTTACATATTCTTCAAAAATTTCTATTTCTTTAGTTTTTAACCTAGGTATATTAAGTTTTTGAAAAATATTATTTAGACAACTTTTATACTGTAATAATTTATTAACAGAGTTATAAAATGAATTCCATCGAGTAATTACTGGAATTGGAAATTTACACTGAACAATATCTTTTACTACATCTAAAGCTTTTGTACTGCGACGAAGTAAATTCCAAAATGTATGAGCTTTATCAAATGCATCATCATATAAATCTTTATATGAGTTGTTACTTTTAGCTTTGTTACTATCACTTACTACTAGTAAATTAAGAGTATGAGATAAACAACGAATTTGATTTGGTAATGTTATATCATCAAATTCATTATACATGTCAATATGTAACTCCTGTACTTCAACATTATTTATAATTAAATTTTCTTCATTTGAGCTCTCAATTTCCTCTTCATCATCATCACATTCATTCATTAAAATTTCTGTATCCCCAACTGCAAGTAAAATATTTGGTTCTTTTTTCGGCACAATTGTATTTGTATTTGTATCATTAAAAACTTTAAATGCTTTAGAAAAATTAGATGCATTATCTGTAATAGTATGAGTAATTATCTCAACATTTAAATTATTTTCAGTATGAATTTCATATATTAATTTTCCAATATTTTCAAAATTGTGAGAATATTTAATTCGTTTACATGCTAGCATAAAACTACATCTTTCTATTTTAATTTTATCAATGAAATGTACCGTCATTCCCATGTAACTTTTATTGTTGGATGACCAAATGTCTGCAGTGGTGCATACATATTTTTGATTATTTAAAGTTTTCATTAAATTACATTTTACAGTATTATATTCGTTAGTTAATAGTTGCATTAAAGATTTTCTCCAAAAAATAGTGTACGGATTATTTCTTACTGATAAAAAACGCTCTATCATGGTCCTAAAAGATTCTTTATCGATAGTAGATACTGGGAGCATTTCTTCTACAATGTAATTTAATATTAAATAAGTCACCTCTTTTTGGCTTAACTTTTCACTAGTTTTGGTTCCTTGTCTGTTGAAACTATCAACTAATGACAATTGCTTCGTAGAGTTTAAACCAGACTGATTATCTACTTTTGAATTTTGAAATTTCAATTTTTCTTCATTCCACACTTTAATTTTAACTGAATGAACTTTCTATAATAACATTAATAACATTATTATGACATTTAGTTTTTATAAATGCAATTATTAAATAAAATACGAGTGCTTACTTTAATATAAGAAATAAAATTGCCAGTTGAATGACTATTCCCTTTGATGCATTTAAAACATGTTGTGCATTTCATGACCAAACTATTTGTTTGTTTGTCGAATTTCAAAATATTGTACAAAGATGAATTAAACAGATACGATGTTTCTTTTAGGGGTTGTGCTTGTGATATTTCCAAGGAATCTGGATCTGGATCGTTCATAGCTGTGTCTTCGAAACGATCATGACGAATATACTTATCCATATTTTATTTAAAACGTCCTAGTATATACCTCAAAAGTCAACACTAAACTGTTAACTATTTAGGGTATCCGGTGACCGGTATATTTATATTTTATGGTGTTGGACTAGTTGTACTAGACGACAATTTATCTAATGTTTGAGGTTAGGAAAGATTGTCGTAAAGAACTATTTTACTTTATATTATATCTTTTATTAGAGATTATAGCATTTACAGAGAGTAGTGTTCGGCTAATAAATTGTCAAATACGTCAATTGTCTAATTATTGTTACGTAATACTATACTATTCCCTCGAATTAACAATATTAATAAAGAAATAATTATAAACATACAATCAGCTGTCACTTATAATTTGTTCTATGTTTGCACTATACATGATTAGTAAATAGTAATAATAATATTCGCATTTACAAAAATCCGTCTGGTTCAACGAATTTAATATTCTGGCTATTGGCTAATATTAGTGGTTTTTCCAATAGTCGATTGAAGTAGTGATGGCAACTTGTTATCAATTTTTGTAACTGTTACAAACTGTTATTGTTACTCAAAAAATAACAGTGAAAATAACAGTTACTGTTATTGAATAATGAATAATGATTGATACTGTTCCTGTATAATACTGTTATTAGAAAAATGCTCTTACTGTTACTATAGTCCGTTCAAAATAAGAAACGTTGACGGCGGCGACCAGTTTTCGACGGCGGCGGACAGATGTTTCTCGCACCGTGCGTCTATTTTACCGACGACGGCCGCTGATATACGATCGTTGTCGATGTATTAGCGTACGTTGTGGAATTCGGTCTCATTGTGTTCCGACCGTGCTTAGCGTAACGTGTGTTCACAATTTTATTCCTACAGACATTTTTATTTCATCATGAGTGATTTTGGTGATATTTCTGATCCAGATGAATTGTCTACTATTTCTCCAAAGAGAAAAAATCCAAAAGGAAAAGTAAGTAAAACATTTTTAATATTTTATATTCGTCGATGTATATTACATAAATAATAATAATAGTATAATGTGTTATTATGTTTATTAAATAATTATTATACATCAGTTATTCATATACGTTAATATTTTTTTCACAGTATATATCCAGCCGTCAAAAAATAATGGTCATAAATTTGTACAAGGATATTTTGATGAAATCGCCGGGCATCAAGTACGAAGATATTGTCAATAATTTGTCAGAGGCCTTGGGTTTAGGTCGTGAGACAATTAGTAAAACCATCGCTGAATACAGACGTACAAATACGGTTACATCTCCCAACAAAAAGCGCATTAAGTTTTCTCTCTTCGACAAAACTGATGATTTAGATCGCAATGGATTACGACAAAAAGTACATTCGTTTTGGTTGCGTCGTGAACTACCTACGATCGACAAAATATTAGTTGCAGTGAACGAAGATCCATCGCTTCCTAATTTCAAACGTACTACTTTGTACAGTACCATCAAGAAATTGGATTTTGTGTTCGAAAAAAGAAAAAGGTGCAGTGTGCTAACGGAGAGGGAAGACTTGATTGTTTGGCGCCGAAATTATTTGTATAATATCCGCAAGTATCGTCAGGAAGGTCGACAAATTTATTATTTGGACGAGACGTGGTTGAATGCAGGCGACTGTGTGGACCGCGTGTGGAAGGACAATACTGTTCTTTCCAAACACGACGCGTTCAACAAGGGACTAACGACCGGGTCGACCAACCCAACTGGCAAGGGCAAGCGGCTGATAATACTTCATATCGGTTCGGACAAAGGTTTTTTGCCAGGTGGTTTATTATGCTTTGAATCCAAAAAAAATAGCGCCGATTATCACGATGAAATGAATGGTGATAATTTCAAGGAATGGTTTGAGGCTATTCTACCTCGACTTGAGCCTAATGCCATTATTGTTATGGACAACGCCCCATACCATTCCGTCAAATTGGAAAAATATCCGAGTACGCGTTGGAACAAAGCCCAATTATCGGAGTGGCTTCAATCAAAAGGTGTTGTTCTTGACAGACCATTGTTGAAGCATGAACTGATGGCCAAAGTACGCGAAATACCACGTAATAAATCTTACGTCATCGATAAAATTGCAGAAGAAGCAGGACATACCGTACTCCGATTACCGCCCTATCATTGCGAATTTAATCCAATTGAATTGGCATGGGCTATGGTAAAAGGTTACGCAAAACGCGAAAACACAACATTTAAGATGGACGACGTTCGCCAACTTCTTCATACGGCAATTGAAAGGGTGACATCAGAAAATTGGCAAAACTTCATCAAACATGTCATCGGAGAAGAAGAGAAAATTTGGAAAGTCGACGATATCATGGACGAAGTAATAGATCAAATGGAACATTGTGTTTTAACAATAACGGGAGAAACTGATTCTGATTATGAGTAATTTTTTTTTAATTTTTTATATTTTTTTTTATTACCTACTGACTTTTTTAAATTTCTGTTTTATGTATTGTTTTTATGTATTGTAATAAATAATTATAATGTTTAAATTTGTTTTTATATTTTATGTTTTTACGTAATATACCTGGTAATAACTCGAAAAAAAATTTAGTTTAATAAATGGTTTTATAATAATAAAAAAAAGGTTGTATGCTGCGCTGACGTACGGTGAATACAGCCCAACGCAGCGTCGTGCCGGTTCAATGCATTTTAAGTTATTTATTCGCGTCACTGGTCAACAATAGAATGAGGCGACGCTCTCGCCGGCGACGGTGTAAAAGCTCGATAGGCGTAGTGAGGCCACGCCCATGCGCAGAAGTCGGCCGCCGTCTACGTTTCTTATTTTGAACGGACTATATATAGTGTTATTTTTCGGTATATACTATATATTATTTAATATAGTGTTTATCAGTATTCAGTTTAACAGCTAACCTATATAGTATAATTAAAAACATTTTAATAGTTAAATTATAAGGCTTTATTATATTTTATTGCACAAGTACAATGTACATATATATAGTAGTATACCACCTAATCATATACCATAGGTAGTAGGTACCTATTCTAAATAGGTAATAATATTCGCTCATTCGAAACTATTAAGTGCATAAGTACAATTATTAAACCAGTTACCAGTCACTATTCATTATAATATGAGTATAAATATATATAGGCTATATTTATTTAAAAAGTGTACAATTAGATGTGTAACTATCTGCTCTGCTGTACAGTACTACAGTGTACAGTATGTGTCCATTTTACCTTTTTATTGAGAACTTAGGTCATTGTAACTGATGTAATAATAAATTTGAATTCGATGATAAATCATTGTATTCAATTAAACAGGTTTCCCTAAGATTAAGTACCAAAACCAAACATTTAAAAATAATTTTAAAAATATTGAAATTTTTTTAATAAAAATTGTTAAATGGACCATGATGACCAATTAATTATTATTATGATATTATTAAAATGTAGTGATGAGATTTTTTTTTTTTTCTCGAGGATGTATAAAGTAGAATTAGAATTTTGTACTTTTGAACTTTTCAAAGCACAAACTAGATATAATTTACAACCAGGAATCTTTTTCAATGTTGAAGATTGGAGCATTATTTCTACTAAGAAAAATAATAGACTATCAATTATTTATTATGAGCTATGAAAATATATTATACTAAAATAATTCTACCTAAAATGTGAACACAATATTATATTTATTATGTATAGTATGTATTGAAAATTAAAGTATACTTATTATGAATAAAATGGTTTATTTATTTTATTTTTCCTTCTCCTAAGGTAATATTGACTGAAAATATGGATAATCATGTAAATATTCTCAAATATTTTTAAGAGTTCAATTTTCCTACTCTTTCTATTAAATTACATAAATAATAAAAGTTTTACATATTATTACTATCTATTAATATAATATTTAATGGTTTTCTATAAACTGAAACTGAAACTAAAATAGTCATTGTTGTATGTCAATGAATACCACAAATAATTAAAACGATTCTATTTATAGTCATTTTATTTTTTCATGTAATTATAGGTTTTATTTGAACATATTTTTAACTAAAAAAGTATTCCTGTTCTCGCATGTCTGTACTTTGTGCAAAAAGAAACCAGATAAGACATATTTGGTCTGTTTTATTTTCTTCATAAGTATTCTGAGTTGTGATCTGATCAAGTCCATCTCTGTAATTACATTTTGTTTTAGTAAAATCCATATTAATAAATAGTAATTAGTTATATTAACATGGATAATAATCGATATAGTAGTGTTTGGGAACATTTTACTATAATTGATGGAATTCACGCAAAATGTGATATTTGTAAACGTAAATACTCTTATAAATCCACACTTACAAATTTGAAAAAACATTTATCCAACCGACACTTAATAAACTGTTCACCAGCCAATAATCTAGTGAGTCAAAATCAAGTAAGTTTCAATCATAAATATAATAAACAAAAAAAGCATAAAAAGTAATTTAACTTAATGTTTATATTTATATTTTTAAGAACACACACCATGATAATATTGACAATCCAGACGACTCAGAAACTCGTGATCCTCAACCTTCTACATCTGGATCATCAATGGCACCTGTATCTTCATCAGCCAGTATTTGTATGTCGAGGCCAACTGAAGTTGCACGTAAACGTAAGCAAACTAGCATAATTGGTTATGTTCCTAAAAGAATGACTGTTGAAAGTAAAAAAAAAATTGATGGGGCTCTTTTAAAATTATTTACAAAAGACTACCAACCATTTAGAGTAGTAGAAGATGAAGGGTTTAAGGAATTTGTGAAACTGTTAAATCCAAACTATATTCTTCCTGATAGACACTCTATATCCAAAACATATATACCAGCTTTATATGAAAAATGTGTTGTTGAAATGAAAGAGTTGGTTGAGAAGGAAGCTGAAAGTGTCTGTATGACAACCGATTGTTGGACTTCTCGTAACAATGAAAGTTTTATGGCTGTCACTATTCATTTCATCGATAGTAATTTCAGCTTACGTTCAGTTCTCCTTGGGTGTTTT